GTCCCTCTGTGTAGCTGGCTGTGACCAAGCAGTGACCACAACCTTGCCCCTTGTCAGCTCTGCTATACACCTGGGAATTCTGATCATCAACGTACACTTATTACTACCACTGTTTTTAATATAGTTTAATGTTTTTCATCTCAGACTTGGCATTTCCACATACTAAAGGCAGAATAGGGGGAAAAATTACATGTTCCTCTATTCTTGGTGTATTAAACATGTTCTCTCTTTTCAAACTATATTATGAATTTAATTTTCAAAATTCCAGTATTTAAGACTAAAATATAAAACTTTGATGGAAAAAAAAAACCCAAGGTTTTAGAATGTTTATGCCTCACAACTGGAGTGTACTGCATTTGAGTATACTGACTGTAAATAATTTTTAAAAGTTAATGTTTTGCTTATTCTACCAAGAGATTTGATAGACTAATCAGCTATAATTAATTAGCTACTCTTGCCAATTCCATTCATATAGTTTATGAAAGGCAACATTGTTTGATGTTTAAATCAGGAAATCTATTCCTGGCACTGCTTCTGTTATAATTTGTCACTGTGGGGAAGTCCTCCATTGGATATTTATTCATTATATGTTTCTTTCATTGACAGGCAAAAATGTATTTATATTTTTATTCTACTACCCTTAAATAACTTTCATCTTTATCTCTTGTATTATATATCGGTACTTCTCAGGCATATGGATAATGATGACACTCTCACCTCTGATTTTTTCTAGTCTATGAGGTACTTTTCTGGTGTGTCAACTTCTTTGAATTTGGCCACTCAGTTCTCACTTTCTTCAGGCTTTATCCACACTCTTAAGCCAGTATTGGAGAAACGTTGTCAGTAGGGTTGGTTATCTGTGATATAATAGAAGCTGATTTTGGTTCAAGTTTTATAATGAGTGGTCTTTGAGATATTGTGTCCATTCCAAAAGAGGAGACCATCAAGTGGGGGGTGGTAGGTCTTTTCAGGAAAAGCTTAGACATACACCCATTCCTCACTTACTGACATGGCAAGGTTCCAAAGACCAGGTTGTTATGCAAAAATTGGTGTTATGCTAAAGTGGAGGATGACCGCAACATTACATAATGCCAAGTTACATCTTTACATAAATATCAGACAACCATGCCTCAAGATAATTGACACATGTCCTTAACCATCACAGTCAGTGTCACTCTCACTCTGTATTGTTACTTCCAGACATCCGTTGTTAATGCACAAAATAGTCAGACTGTAGAATTTTCACTATTGTCGTAAATGCAAGATGTATAACAAAATAGGTGATAAATGAAGATGAGGAGTAGGTGTAACTCACAGGGTAGTCTTAATCTTTTTTTTTTTTTTAATTAACCAGAGTCCAGTCCTCTGGTTGCAAGATGAGAAATCTAATTGTCTCAGTTCCCAATACCAGAACAGTCTTGAGGAAGGGGAGGGCTCATTTTAAACAAGCTTCAAAGAATGATATATAAATCAAAATGAGAATTCATTAATTTTAAAAGAGATATCTAACCATTACCAAATCCAGAATATTCATTTGTAATTGACCAATCCATTTCTCAGTGAGCACATGAACTTGGGATGGTGTTCTGGTTACCTAGTGCTGCTCTGACAGGACTATACCACAAATGGGATGGCTTTAACAAACAGGAGATTATTCTTACAATTTGGAGGCTTTAAGTCCAAGTTCAAAGTGACAGGTTCTATGGGCTGGATAAAAGCCCCTCAACCTTGGGGTCCAGCTCTGCCTCCTGCTCCCAGCCCACTGAAGCTAGAGGATTTTCTTCACTCAGACAGCT